TTCCTGCTGCAGTAATACGTGGTTCATTGTATGAGAAAGCTGGAAGAACTGCAAATAAAGTACTTGTTGGTATTTTTAGTACCTGTGAGGAGTAAGAACAACTTCTTAAACTAAAATATTGTTATAAAGAATAGGATGAGAATCTTAATCAGTTGGAAAGCTCTGGCTCACTCAAGAAATTTCAATTATATTGACATCATTGCTCTTCAATTCAGCTGAGAATGTTTCATTGTATTGCAGACCAGGTATCTCTTGTTCCAGTGGCTGTGGTTTTATTTTTATACTTACATCTGCAGCAGAGCTACTTTCATCTGTCAAGTGACATGATCTTAGAAAAGGATCATTTTCCACAAAGTGACTGTTGATGAAAAAAACCACTGAATATAAAACTGACAGTCTACAGTGTTGAAAAGTGTGTTTAATTCACTGCCAGAGCCTTTGATGCACTTGTTCTGCTCTACAGCTCTGGCTAACACTCATTTATGTCTTCCCTATAAAGTTAGACAAGCTTAATATATATCCAGATGTGACATCAAGTCATACTATAAAATGCCTTATTTTGATATCAGCTGAACATTGGTTGTGCAACAAATCCAGAAGAGTAAAAACCTCAAAATTTCTTCCTAAATAGCACCTAGATATGAGGCTTGGACTAGCAGTTTTTGAAGCTATAGGGTGATAAATGGTGGAATTTGAGCTAACAGTTTGGCACCTCCATTAAATCCACAAAATGGGAAAACAATTGCTTGTGTCTCTGATTAAGGAAAGTGAAGCAAGTAGTTTAGGTAAAGTATTGAATCAATACTGTCCGGATTTTGAAAGATAAGAGATTATTAATAAATATTTGCTAGTATTTTGACTTTTAGTAACAGCTCAGGTTATAGGTACAAATATTGATTTTATAAATAAGTGTTTATGTTCCATTTGACGGATTTGGTTAAATTCAGTGAGTCAAAACTCACTTATTTCAACTTTTCTGAATTACTCTTTTTCACCTGTGGGCTGTCAAGATAAACATGAAAGCTCCTTGCTTTTAGAGGCCTGCATATAAATTCAGAAAACTGTTTCCAAAAAGCAAGGGATGGCTGTATTGCATTCTACTGAAACAAAATCACACCATAAGCACCAGTTCCACATGATCTTTATCTGTTTGTAATAAAGTTTTGCAAAATGAATAATACTGAAAGTTAACATTAGGTGTCAGTATTTTACATATTATTTAGTGAGGAATATCAAGTGAAAGAGCTTCTCTGGAAAAAAAAAATAAAAGAACATTACAGTCTCCTTCTTCAAATGCTCTGTTATCACAGTTAGAGTAATATCAGGAATAATTATGTGTGAAATAATTAATTGTATATACCCCGAATGCTTCTTGCCAGTTACATCTCTGATTTAAAATTCAGTATTAAGTACTACTGTTTTCTAATTGTTATATCATTTAGTTCTTGGATTGGCTGAAGAAATTACATTTTTAAAATTAAACTACAAGGCATGAGTGTCTGTAGATGACAGAAAATTGATACCTGGGTAGCATGATAAAATGCCTACAAGCTGAAGGAAGACAAACATCAATATGTAGATCCCTGGTTTTATGTGATCTTTCTCAGCACAACACAACTGAATTCTGTTTAGATCTCTTAAACTCACTGTAACTGTTGAAAACATGAGGGAAAAATACTATGGGATCCATTTGTGTATTTATTTTTTTTTTACCCACTTTTTCCATGGGGACTACATAGAAGGCAAAGTTCTTTTTCATAAGCAGAAAAAGGAGGGGTTTGTTTCCCCAAAGAGGAGTGTAGTATGAGTTGAGGATAAAGGTATGACACAGTTATTTTCTCATCTGAGTTTGTTGCATGATTGAGAATAGGAAGGACTTGATCCATTTGAAAACCTTAATATGCAAAACATTGGGAGCCCTTAGTCTCACTACTGCAGAATCCACCCTGATTTCATTTCATCAGCAGAGTACTATGCATGGGTAGATTAAGCAAGAAAGATAAAAGGAAATAGAAAAAGTAGAAGGCAGTAAAACAAAATAACTTAAAATAACATGGGTTAAAAAAGTTGATTATATTCATGTTCCCAAATACAGCTTGGTACAGGTGGGAATTCCTTGTGGAACTCCAGCCTCTGGGGTAGGGATGAGACTTGCTTGTCTTCACAAGGGTGAACATGAGCATCTAAGGCTAAATCTGCAGAGAGATCTTACAGGCTGTGTAAACATCAAAGCAGTGACAGCAACATAATGAAGACATGGCCAAGGTAGGTGTGTTATTTCACATACTCACTTACAAAACCCACTGAAAAACTAACTCTCTACAACCAGCTGAGAGATAGTTTTGCATCGTGAGCTTAAAATTTTGTCAATATTTGTGAATTACGTTTAGAAAACTTATTCAGTAATTCATACTTCTTATATTCCAAGTTTTTATTACCTAAACTTAGTCTTCTAAGCATCATTTTATGTTTCTAGTTAAATATAAGTGAGAATTGATTGGGGTATTCCTCAATGGAATTCTATCTTTATTTCATCATAATTGCTTCATATTTGAATAATGACAGATGAACTACTTCATTCAATTGCAGTTTTAAGGCTTTGAAGTCACAATAGCAGCAAAGGATTTAAATCCTGAAGCCATTATTATGGCAGAGGAGACATCAGGGAAAAGGAAAACTTATGGTCATGTAATTTTCTAGACAGAAAAATACTTCTGTGGTTGCACTTTTTTTTCTTTTATATTTTTTTTTTTTTTCCCCTGGACATTTTGTTAACGTTAAAGGGATCCATTAAACTTCAACAAAATGAAGTACCTAAGACTTCTAGCAAAACAAATGGCTTCCATCTACCATGGAAGATGACATTAGAAATGCTGAATGAGAATCTACACTGTAAGTAAACTTCTGGAGTTATTTTGCTTTGGTGCTAGCTACAAACCATTTAGAATTCTAGGCAGCTGCAATACTGTATTTCACTAATAAAGAGTTCATTAGATCTTTTTTCTCTCTGACATTTACGTCTAGTCCTGAGTACATGTTAATACTCCAAGGTATGAATTTCAAAGTTCCCTTTATCTTTGTGTATGGTTTTAAGCAATTAATCAAATGATAAGAAATGGCTTTAAAAATAAGAAACTAAGTGTGAATTTAAAGTATATGTTCAAAAAGTTGTTACATTATAATTTGAGGGGGATAGGGCCTCTTATCAACTGAGCTAATTGCAGAATTTTTTATTTATTTTTTTATCTTAAACTTACATTTTATTGAAGGATTTTGAAGAGATCATCAAATAGTTAAAATGCAGCCAAGTCGTATATCCAGGATAGTTCTGTCTCCTAGGAGGCTACATCAAAGAGGCAGAGACACAGGAAAATCATTATTTAATATGTTCAAAATTACTCCCACGTGGGGCAAGATTCATACAGGCTCCTGAAATAAGCACGGGGGCAAGCAGCACTGCAAACTCCATTTGAAATAAAAGCAAACAGCAGTTATCATCACAGCACCAGGTATAAATACAAAGATAAATAAAAAAAAAAAAAAAAACAACTTTTCCAATTCTTTCTTTGTTACAAAGCACATTATGAATGGAAAAAAAAAAATCTGAGCACTAGAGATATCATTGCAGCTTGAAAGGAATTATGCCTTCTGGAATGTCAGAACCCTACATTTGTGGCAATCAACTATGAATCGAGCCTCATGGG